GATGTGTACGAAGTGCATTGCAAGATATTGAAAATGAGGCAGCCGCGAACGTAGCTATTCCCCATCTTTTCCTAAGGTGGCCAAATACTTGTCTCTTAGTGTCTTGTTATCTGGGTCACTTAGACGTGGTCAAAGCTTTGCTGAAGAAAAATGCAAAAGTTTCAGCTAGGGACAGCGACGGCCGGTAAATAGTCTCAAATACATAATATAAGATTTCAATTTCATTGTACAGCTTCGTTAGCGATTATAGAAGAATTATTGAAAAATGGGGCGAATCCATGCGAGTGGGATTACAACCAAAAGTATACACCTTTACACTGTGCTGCTGCTACAGGGAATCTTGCGTGCGTTAAATATTTAATAAAGTCTGGAGCAGACGTGAACGCTGGGATATGCGGGAGAAGTCCTCTCTACTACGCTGTCCTAAGCAACGCCATAGACTGTGCAGAAGTTTTATTACAGGCAGGAGCTACCCCTAACAATCCACAGGTTTTCATTTGCCAAATGTTAATCGAAAATATTTTTAATTATTATTCATTATTTGAAAATCTGAATTATATACAGGTTTACACAGAAACACCGTTACATCTGGCGGCTAGTTTGGGTTCTGTCGAGTGTACGAAATTATTGTTAAATTACGGGGCAGATGTGCGAGTCAAATTCGGCCCTATGAGATCCACTCCGTTGCACTTGGCAGCTGAGGAAGGTAGCGTTGAGTGTACTACATTGCTATTAGGAGCTGGCGCTATGCACGATGCGAAGAATGCGCGGGGTCAAACGCCAATGCATTTAGCAATCTTATCTCAATCTTTGGAAACTCTGGACGCACTTATAAAAGTTGGAGCTAATGTTAACGTTGAGGACAACGATGGTCGCACTGCGTTACACGCTGCAGTTGCGAAAGCTACCAGAGGAATAGAATTAGTAAAGATTCTGATACAGGTCAATCTACTACTTAAAAAAGTTTCCCGGAAACACGTATATATGTTAAAAACTACATGCTTTCTTTACTTGAACAGGGCGGTGCTCTGATCAACAAAGCAGACAAATTCGGTTACACGCCTTTGCATATCGCGGCGTTAAACGAGAGCTCGTTGACGGTAATGACGTTATTATCGAAAGGGGCTGATGTGACTGCTAGAACGAAAGGCGGTATCTCTGCGTTGAGCTTCATCGTACGTAGAACTCCGGACGTGCTGCCGCGATTCATTTCTCGTTTGGATCAAGCCATTTCTTTGCACGATCACGAATTAGGCGACATCGATTGCGAATTAAGATTAGATTTCAGACCGCTGGTATCGGGCGGCAGAGGTGAAGCAGAATTGATGTTATGCCTTGTCGAAGTTGGACAAAGGCATATATTGAAACACCCTTTGTGCGAGAGCTTCCTTTACTTAAAGTGGCTCAGAATACGTAAATTTTTTCTCCTTAGTCTGATATTTCATTCCATATTTGTCGCCTTTTTTACGGCGTATGTTACAGGCATATATTGCGACATCGAAATTATGAAAAAATTTAGTAACGTACTTTTCTGGATGGTTTTAATGTTCAATGTAACTATGGCTAGCAAAGAATGCTTTCAAATGGCACACGGTATATACAGTTACGTTAAAGGATGGGAAAATTGGCTTCAATGGAGTGTTGTTTTATTGTCAAGCGTTGCACTAATCAATCCATTGCAAAATAACGTGGAATATCAATGGCAATATCATGTAGCCGCTCTAGGGATTCTACTTGTTTGGATAGAATTAATGATGGTCATTGGAAGATTCCCAATGTTCGGCATTTACATACAAATGTTCACCCAAGTATCGATTAATTTCTTTAAATTCCTTGGCGCTTATATGTGCCTTATAGTAGGCTTCTCCTTAGGCTTCAATGTGCTACTGCATAAAGATTTCGGCCCATTTCGCGATCCTTTAATTGCTTTACTAAAGACGATCGTAATGATGTCTGGAGAATTGGAATTCGAGGATACATTTTTTAGCGACAAATTGAAAATTCTCTACTTCTATACAACGCATTTAATGTTTCTAAGCTTTGTTATTTTGGTGACGGTAATTTTAACGAATTTAATGATGGGCCTCGCCGTATCGGATATACAGGAATTGAGAAGATGCGCTGGCCTAGACAGACTAGTGCGTAGAGCAGAATTAGTGGCACATTTAGAAAATATGCTGTTCTCAAAACTTTTAGATCATGCACCAAGTACTATAATAAAGGCATGCAGAGAAGGTGCGCTCTTGCTGCATCCACCGCATTATTGCGCGATTCATATTCGGCCCAACGATCCCCGTGAGAAACGTCTACCGCAAGATTTAATTAAAGCTATCTATCGTTTGGTAATCGAGAGGAAACATCAAAATATGAATGCCAAAAGAATATCCGGTTACAGCGTACGTAATAGAGCGGAAACAGTTAATTCCAGACTAAGTCGACTGTACAGCAATACTTCTTCCGAAACCAATCAACAACAGTTAAATGAATTAAGTGCCGAATTGAAAAGATGCACTTACAATATTGCTACGCATTTGGATAATTTAACAAATAAGATAGAAACTATTGTTAGAGATCATAATTCAGCATAATATATAATGTTTGCTACATTATTTTAATATCAAGTTTTTTACTTACCAGTAATTTTGCTTTAAATCGTTTCCCATTTTGTAATTGTATCTCCGCGTTTTCCTCTGGTGTTTTCGGTAGATTAATATTTTCAACTTTGGAATTATAGATCACGTTTACGTTCTCCTTCTCAGACAGCTGTTTATTTACTGCATGCAATAATAAATCATTTTCAACTATGTAAGCGACCTCGTCGGTCACGTAATCTTCGTTAAATACAATCATAGCATCGGAACATGCGTCCCATACCTACTAAAGATTTCATTCTTAATTGTAATATTTGTATGATAAAAGATCGAAGAAAACTTTGATTACCTGCATTTTTCGTACTGCACAAACACGTGTTCCTTCAATATGTTGCCAAGCTCCGATACTCGAAAGTAAAGTACGAGTCTGGTAATTCAAAGCAACCACACGATTCGAATATTTTTCCTGTGGTACATAATCAAATTGTTTACCACCTTCTAATAAAAGGACTTTCTTAGACTCCAATCTCCTATTATTTGCTGTAGCAGAATACAAATACAGGTTTCAGACAAATGTTACGATTACTATTGTACATACATAAGCTACCGACATATCAAATGGATTAATTTCACTAAACAAGAGACAGAAAAATATAGATTTTTAAAATATAAATTCAAATAAGAATTACAATAATAAACAGTTTGTACTCTCTTTAAAAGATTGTTTTAATAAATTCCTACAAATTTTTAAGTTGCATTATTGCAACGATTTGTATTAGATTCGATTACTGGCTTTTGAAATAAATTATTTACAACTTAAAAGAAATGGTCATTCAGTGATGTTAAACCTAATTATTAAGCAAATTTGTTTGAAGTATTAAACATGAAGAATCAGTCAAATATTCAAACGTATTCATAAAATTACTCGTATTAGCAAGTAGGTACATAATTATTGCAGAGAGAAAAAATTAACCTATTGCACAGGCAAGTGTAGTTCCAACCATGCCACCACCGCTAATGATAATATCGTAATTTTCCACATTTTCTGCAGCGGTGGAACAATCCCTTGTCGAGAGTAACGATAAATTAGGAGCGGCATACTTGTAATTCCTTGAAATCAATGCTAAAATATTACTGCGCATCACTGTTTTCGTGAGGGCTGCCATTTTTGTATTGTTTTATATGCAGGTCTAAATAGAGCTACCTGTTCAAAAAATACATGTTTATTAATTTATACAGTACGCAGAAATCTTGCAATTAGAAAGATTTGAGGTGGCATGATTGAGGCGATTAATTACAGTGGCGAATTCATTGCATCCCACGTCATAACTACTGATTATTATGCAAATACATAACATATAAATTCAAAGTTTACGAATCATTATTATTCTAATCACTCGAGTATCAAAAGAGTTTATCGAGTCGATGAAAGCCCGTGTCATCGACGGAAATTAGTAACGTCTGCACCTTCCGTCCGCGTGGCAGTTATTCGGTGCCACTTTTCTTGAGATTGGCGAAAATACATGCGTGGTACTTTATATACTACATCATCGGCATTATGTACCAGTGACCTGCAGTATACTTACATGTTTTACACGGCACACGTCTCACCGCCATTAAAGCCGTGAATGCCGTTACACCGGTAGGAAACAGTTACGAAAAAGTAGTGTTTCTTTTTTCTCAATTATCATTCCCCTTGAGATGAAGAGGCGTTAGAGGAATTACGAGTTTTTAAAAGTTGCTTGGAAGTATTGTTTGTCATAGAAAGCTATATTGCATAGAACGTTGGTAGCTGATAAGGATCGATTGAATAATGGGTTTTTTAAAATCTGTCGGTACTGGAATAATATACATCGGCGTTTTTCTAGCTGTTATCACATTCCTACCAGGCTTACCTCCAGTAGCTCAATTTTCCGAATACAGGTATTGTATTGATCTCTCATTTATTTCAATATGGTTATCAATTTAAACATATAGAGCATAACGATAATTATATCTTGGTATATGTTTAAGTGTAAAGCTTCCGACTGACGTGAAATCCCAATACGATTTGAAGAATCGACTGCAGGGAGCAGAGATATTGTTCGCTGAAGAAGTCAAAGGTCCGGAGGCTTTTGCGTCGTATGATGGAAAATTGTACACGGGTATACGTGGAGGTTATGTCGTACAAATTGAAGAGGACCGTCTGATACCAATTGTGAAATTCGGTCAGAAATGTGGTACGTTGAAGTCATCCTCGATAAATCCTTCAAATTTTCTTCTTTAATCTCTATTTAAATATATAATGTTTAAGAAAGAATTTTATTCATATGTAGAACTACGTCTTCATTTTGTTAAGCCTGTTTGAACAGCTGTACAAATATCTTAAGTAATGAATTAAATTCCAGATGGTTTATGGCAAGAAGAAAAGTGTGGTAGACCATTGGGATTAAGGTTCAATGATAGAGGAGATTTATTCGTAGCTGATTCTTATTATGGCATTTTTAAAGTAAATGTTAACACAAAGCAATATGTAAACATAGTTAATAGCTCAGAACCCATTGATGGAAAAGTTCCGAAGATATGCAACTCTTTGGACATCGCGAAGAATGGAGACATTTATTGGTCGTACTCATCTGCAGAATTCCCTCTTCATGATGGAACTTACTCGTTCTTAGCTAATCCATCAGGAGGGTAAGATTTTCAAATTTAATCATTACTTTCAGCATAAAACATCTAGAGTTTAATAATATAATATAATATAATATAAAAAATTTAAGTACATTACATTATTCTAATCTATCAATAATTATTTTTTTGCAGTCTTGTGCGATACAACGCAGCGACAAAAAAGAACGAAATCTTACTAAATAATTTAGGATTTGCGAACGGCGTCGCTTTAAGCAATGACGAAAGCTTTGTGATCGTCTTAGAATGTCAAACCTCGCGCATTATTAAGTACCATCTACGAGGTCCGAGAGCTGGGCAACACGAGTACTTTGCAGAGGGTCTACCTGGTTTACCAGACAATGTGCAGCCCGATGGACAAGGAGGCTTCCTTGTATCTTTGGTTCTTTATGTAGATGCTGAGCATCCTGCGTTGCATCAGTCTCTTATGCCACATCCGTATCTTCGAAAAATGTTGACTAGACTGCTTTATTTGATAGAAGCTCCATTTAAATTGTTACAAGATGTTTACCCGAATTACTGTTCGGAGAAAGTAACACATGCTGTGGGTTCGTTCGAAGTATCACAAATCTTTGATGTAAAAAAAACATCGGTAATACTTAGATTCGATAAGACAGGAAAAGTTTTGGACGCTATATACTCGGACGATGGGCAAGTTCATAATATCTGTGATGCTCATATACATAATGGATACGTGTGGCTTGGTTCTCCTTGGAACGAGTATATCATGAGAGTTCCGTTAAAACAAGCATTCCCAGATTTAGTAATAGCTAATAAGAAACCTGCAAGTACAAAGAAACAGGAACAAGGAGAACCGTTGATAACAGTTTCAGGCACACCCAATGTTAAAATAGAGACAAAGCCTGCGGCAGCTAAACCGGTAGTTAAACCGGTAGTTAAACAAGAATCTACTACAAAGCCACCTCCTAAACCAACCGCAAAAGCACAAACAACGCAAAAACTAGAGACAACGACAGCAAAGCCAACCACCACTGCAAAATCTACGACATCACAACCTACGACTACCACTACCTCTTCTACTACTACTACTACTACTACTTATTTATTTCAATATGGTTATCAATTTAAACATATAGAGCATAACGATAATTATATCTTGGTATATGTTTAAGTGTAAAGCTTCCGACTGACGTGAAATCCCAATACGATTTGAAGAATCGACTGCAGGGAGCAGAGATATTGTTCGCTGAAGAAGTCAAAGGTCCGGAGGCTTTTGCGTCGTATGATGGAAAATTGTACACGGGTATACGTGGAGGTTATGTCGTACAAATTGAAGAGGACCGTCTGATACCAATTGTGAAATTCGGTCAGAAATGTGGTACGTTGAAGTCATCCTCGATAAATCCTTCAAATTTTCTTCTTTAATCTCTATTTAAATATATAATGTTTAAGAAAGAATTTTATTCATATGTAGAACTACGTCTTCATTTTGTTAAGCCTGTTTGAACAGCTGTACAAATATCTTAAGTAATGAATTAAATTCCAGATGGTTTATGGCAAGAAGAAAAGTGTGGTAGACCATTGGGATTAAGGTTCAATGATAGAGGAGATTTATTCGTAGCTGATTCTTATTATGGCATTTTTAAAGTAAATGTTAACACAAAGCAATATGTAAACATAGTTAATAGCTCAGAACCCATTGATGGAAAAGTTCCGAAGATATGCAACTCTTTGGACATCGCGAAGAATGGAGACATTTATTGGTCGTACTCATCTGCAGAATTCCCTCTTCATGATGGAACTTACTCGTTCTTAGCTAATCCATCAGGAGGGTAAGATTTTCAAATTTAATCATTACTTTCAGCATAAAACATCTAGAGTTTAATAATATAATATAATATAATATAAAAAATTTAAGTACATTACATTATTCTAATCTATCAATAATTATTTTTTTGCAGTCTTGTGCGATACAACGCAGCGACAAAAAAGAACGAAATCTTACTAAATAATTTAGGATTTGCGAACGGCGTCGCTTTAAGCAATGACGAAAGCTTTGTGATCGTCTTAGAATGTCAAACCTCGCGCATTATTAAGTACCATCTACGAGGTCCGAGAGCTGGGCAACACGAGTACTTTGCAGAGGGTCTACCTGGTTTACCAGACAATGTGCAGCCCGATGGACAAGGAGGCTTCCTTGTATCTTTGGTTCTTTATGTAGATGCTGAGCATCCTGCGTTGCATCAGTCTCTTATGCCACATCCGTATCTTCGAAAAATGTTGACTAGACTGCTTTATTTGATAGAAGCTCCATTTAAATTGTTACAAGATGTTTACCCGAATTACTGTTCGGAGAAAGTAACACATGCTGTGGGTTCGTTCGAAGTATCACAAATCTTTGATGTAAAAAAAACATCGGTAATACTTAGATTCGATAAGACAGGAAAAGTTTTGGACGCTATATACTCGGACGATGGGCAAGTTCATAATATCTGTGATGCTCATATACATAATGGATACGTGTGGCTTGGTTCTCCTTGGAACGAGTATATCATGAGAGTTCCGTTAAAACAAGCATTCCCAGATTTAGTAATAGCTAATAAGAAACCTGCAAGTACAAAGAAACAGGAACAAGGAGAACCGTTGATAACAGTTTCAGGCACACCCAATGTTAAAATAGAGACAAAGCCTGCGGCAGCTAAACCGGTAGTTAAACCGGTAGTTAAACAAGAATCTACTACAAAGCCACCTCCGAAACCAACCGCAAAAGCACAAACAACGCAAAAACTAGAGACAACGACAGCAAAGCCAACCACCACTGCAAAATCTACGACATCACAACCTACGACTACCACTACCTCTTCTACTACTACTACTACTACTACTACTACTCCTCCTCCAAAACCGCCAGTAGCAAAAAAAGATGTTAAAAGAGACATTCCAAAAGATGTTAAAAAAGACATTCCAAAAGAAGTGAAGAAAGACACAATTAATACGCAGGAAAAAGTTCCGAAGAAAGACAGCAAAGCAACGGTGAAACAGGAATCTAAGCCTGTTAAAGCAGACACTCGTGAAACTGCATCCGACAAGCCCAAGACTGCGCGAAAAGAGAATGAGTCTACTAAAAACTGAATGTTAGAGGATCAGTGCAAGTTTAAGTTGAATCATTATTTATATTACATATTCTTTCTCACGTTAAACGTTTAACGTACTTCAAACATATCCAACTTATTTGTTAGATTTTATGAGATTTATAACGTATATGTATTCTGTTCTTTGATAGTATACTCTACTTATATTCTTCCAATAACGTTCGGAGAAGCGGCATTGAAAAGATTGTTTTCTATTTAAATTTTCATACGAACGGGAGAAAATTAGAAGAATGGATATTAGGGACTGTGATTTAGATTTGTACATAAGATTGAAAATAATGTTGTTTTTTTAAATTGTTCCATATTATACGATTAATATAATGTTTAATACCTATTATATACATATATACACACAAATAAATATATATGCTTCATGTATACATATATCAATTATATGTGTACGTGTATGTATATATTTTGTAAGTTCTAATTTTCTTTAGTTACGCTATAATAAGGAGAGATTTTGTTCTTTGTTATAGATCGTTATCGCGTTTTGATATGCATTAAAATTTTTCACACATAGAAAGGAAGTTGTACGATAAAGTAAAAGTAAATATTAAAATAATTGCTCCATAATAAAATTTACATTAGACGATATTTGGTTATAAAGGTTTCAATGATTCTCTTATTAAACGTAGTTTCATGTAATTCCAAAAATTATATGAATCTTCCACATTACATTTTTTGATTCCTATTTTTGTACATGATCTATTTTTCTACGTAGAGTATGCCATGCACGGCACGTGTATGAAAATACGAATTTAAGTAAAAATTAAATTTGTTGGAAATCATTTAGGAATACTTCGCATTTTACCTTCAGTTAGGTAATACATGTATTGCTTGAATCTGGGCACGGTGGTATAAACAGTGATATTTCTCGTTTTATATAAAAGTTGGTAAAAGGATGTATAACTGGTATAGAAATAAAATTTTCTTTTCTAAAAAAGTGTGTCTTTACTTATTTCATTTCGTTGTTTGCCTCTCTAGGAATAGAATGCACTTAGAATAACACAAGTCGTTAAGTACATGGTTTTAAAAATTACGATTAACACTGTTAATATATTCATTATGAAAATATGTTTCAACTCTGTATAGTCCTATAACAATATTAAGAACTGAAGGATAATGGGAACGACTATACTCAAATATTGAGCTGTTGTGTTATAAAATTTGGCAGTACAGACTTCAGCTTTTTACTCAAGCTTTCTTGGGCTTTCCATAAAAGAGTAGGACGTTTAACAAATTGCCAGTACCCATTTCTCTTACGTTCTGCCCACTTTTGTGCACTCGACAAACGTTTCTGATACGTCAAAACATCTTTGTCCTTCATCGTTATCTTTAAGGGATCGTTTCTCACCAGAGCAAAGCCAACTTTCGTCAATGCCTCAGCAATCTTAATACATTCCTAGTTAATTTAAGGTATTAAGTTTTTGTATCGAAGGAAAATGTGAATCTTTCATAGTTGTTATCTACCTGATTTTGTTGCATTAATATTATACAAGTTACACAGTCCTTCTCCTTAGCTAAAGGTATGAAAGTTATTTCCTTTCCTTTAACGATTGTTTGTAACCAGTTGATGCCTGAAGAAGAATTTCATTATCATTAAAGCAAAATACTTGGACAAAAGTATTCTATCAATGCTGACCATTCGATGTTACATCAATGCCAGCTATTTTAATTGGCAAATACTTTGGACTGCTCAACCGAGGCAAAGGTATTAATGGCTTGTGATCAACCATTAGCAGTGTATCAGAGCCAGGTTCGACACCCACCACTGTACCGTGAAGCTGAACTTTCTGGCGTAGAAAGCGAGATGGTAAACTGGACGGTTTCCTAAATTTAGCAAACTGAAAATACAACAATAGAAGATTTAAAATGCCGAGGCAGAAGAATACGTAATTAACATGTGTCATACGTACAGGCCTGATGCGATAGAGTGCAACCGCTAAACTTATGCTAGCGATCCCATAACTGAGGGTCTGAAATTAAATGCAATTTAATTTTAATTAAACTGACTTGTAATATGAAGCGAAGGTTAGAACATACCTTTACCGCCTTGATGTCGGTTTCGCTGAAAGCGGTGTATCTTTCCCAAATACTCAACTTCTTCCCCGATGCCATCCTGTCTCCACTTTTATTTACGTTCTATTTTCCTAAAAGAACACTGTTAATAATAATAAATTAAAACCTGTAATATTAGCATAAAAGTATTTCGTCCACGGTTGAACGAGTGCATCTGGTCATCGATATTTTTGTATAAATTTCGCGAATTATAGAATCTCGGATTATTTAATACATGCGCGTATTTATCCTGCTTGTAGTATTTATAATTAAGCTTTCGTAAAGTATAGTTGAACGGTACGTGACATATATGTAAATAAAGAGTAACATCAAGTAGGATGTTTTATGCAAAAATAAAATCATGCGCATAACATACAAAGAAGTCAGGTGAAATAATAATCTTTAAACGTATCTTAAAATCTTTACACGTGTTTTTCATTTCACTTTCATTCTCCACTTTCGTATTCACACGTGGTGTCACGCTTGTGTTGGTGTCTACACATAAATACACCAACATCTGACATCATATCTGATTGTCAGCCACCGTGACTGCAGTGCACCTGCACAGTGACAAAAGGTGTTGCTGTTAGTGTTGAGAAAGATCGTCAGATGTATATATAACAACGCGTTGGAAAAATTTATTTATTGTTAAGGCAGTGCAATAGAGACACAAGTGATTAACAAGAAAAAAAAGACTGACAATCGATTAGATTAACATAAATTACATAGAGATGTTTCGTGATGGCCAATACTTGGAAGTAATTAAGGTATTTTGGCGAACAGCTGTTAATAATTATTAAATAGTCAGAAGTAAAATGGAGATGTTCTTAGGCTTCGGATAATTGTTTAGCTACGGCCGTCGTGACCGTTCAAGAGAAGACGATAAGGATTAAAGAGAAAACGGTCTCAACTAACAAATGGCTCGGTCTCGAGGACTGGGCAGCGTTGTACAAGATTTTGGAAAAGGCAATTTTGCGGAACAAGGGATCGCCATGGGACCATAAAAAGCACAAATGGAAAAAATCCACTCGTCAGTTAGATATCACGTAAGCGTCATACAAAATTTCATTCCACTAAATACATAATGTGTGTATTCATGAAATAAACAACACGCAATTTTCAATTAAAAAATGTATGTATCTCATAATGCATTCGACTCGAGTTGTTATTTATATGAACATTTTTACAAATTCTAGATATACGTTCGAGCAACCAGAGAGTACAAGGAATGTTCCAGCTTTACCTACAATCAGAGTGAATGTATCACCTGCGAAAAGAAAAGTGGACAAAGCAAACGAGAAAGATTCCACTCGACAAAGGGACAATAAGGATGAGCCTGTATCAAAGAAATCGGAGAACGATAATTTATCGAGGAAGGCACAGAAGAATGCGAAAAACGATAGGATTAAGAGATATTTACCGATTGATAGCATAGAAAATGGCACGTTGGAAGAATATGTACCAGACGGTCCTGTTACGAAAAAGTTATGCGCGAACTTGAACTATATACCGAGCAGAAAGAGTACGTTGGAACAGATCCAAGTATCTTTGAATGAATACACTCCTAGCGTATCAGATAATAAAAGCGTGGCGGAAGTGGCCCGATATGTTCCGAATTCTGTGGATTCGTCTAAAGTGTCTTACGAAGTCTACGAGCCTAGCGGCACGCCAGCTGTAAGCCACCTCGATGAGTACGTACCTAATTCGAAAGGGGTCAAAGCTTCCGTCGAGGAATATCATCCCGATTTCACTAGTAAATCGATGAAGTTCGATGACAGTTACGTACCATCGAGCGTGCAATTGACAAATGAAAATTCAAAAAGACAGAAAACAGTACATTCGGAAAGGCCCAGGTTGAGCCAAAGGCATTAACTCAATTTACGACTCTATTCGACAAAACTACTTTTTACAGAGTGGATATACAATAAAATATATTATATTATTTCTGAAAAATGGAAAATACAATTATCTTCTCTTGAAAGACAATGGACAAGATAATTTCTTATACGGACGTGCGTGTACAATAAATATTATTTTAATAAAATGATATCATATTTTCAGTAAAAATATTTGTTTATTTTACATTTCATAAGTCTCATTCTTAGTTTCGAGCATTTTCTTAACGATCGTTGTCTTCATTCTCTGGAGACGGTTCTTCAACTAAATTTTCTATTAACTCGAATTTCGGTTCTACGGTTTCCTCTTTAACGTTTTTCTTTTCGTCTTCCATCTGATTAAGTTCCTCGTCATCCGTGTCATCATCTGCTCCGGGATGAGCAGGCACCTTGTAAGTCGGACTACCTGGCGTTTGAACCATGCCTGGTTTCTGCCACGCTTTCTGCGATTCCTATAATTCATATAATCAAATATTAATGAATCAACCTTTACAACGAATTCTGTGAATTCGAAAATCATTTATCATTTCTTTCCCAGTAATTTTCTCTCTGACGACATTTATTTTTATCTTGTATCACTATGATTCATAGAGGTATTTGATTAAAAGTTAATTCGATATACATATGATTAATTGCGTGAGTCACTCTGTTTCAAACAGGTAGTTTCAACTTACCTTCATACCGCTAATTTTCTCGATGTAATAATCGTAGACAAATTTAGCCATATGTGGCATGTCTTCAATTTCCATTGGCGAAGTAGATGGGATGGCATCGTTGAGTCTATCTGTGGGATAATGTTCTTGCGGAATGAGTTGTAGTTTCAACGGCCGTTGCATTAACTGGGCAAATGCGGGCGTCAGTTCAAAACAGTTCTTGAAAAGCGAGACTCTGGCGAACACATAAAGGCCAAGACGGGCTCTCGACATAGCGACTACTAAACGACGAGCGTCTCGCAGATGACCCACCGCTCTAGTTTTCACAAGGGACAGTAGTATATAATCGTTCTGCTGACCCTGGTACTTATCAACCGTCGTCACCTTATTCGGCCGACCGATCAAAGGATTACTGGCGCATCTTATATTTATCACGTCCCTTATCAAATGTTTCTGTCCATTGTACGTGGTTAATATGCTAATTTTGTCGGCTGGATAACCGAGAAGTCGCATGTACATGAACACAGCCACGCAATATTCGGCCTCAGCGAGATTTTGATAGAAGTACGCGCTGGGTTCGCTTTCCCCAACTCCGTTGAAGTCTTCGACGTTGATGAGTTGAAAGTCGTATAAAAAGCCAGCGTTCGCCACCAAGTACTCCGGACTGTTTTCGACGTGCACGAGATTGCCCAATTTCTTGTAACGCCAATTGTACAAATTGCAGATACTAGGTCTCGCACGACCTTGACCATCGAGGTCGACGGTGGGCACTCCCAGCCGAACGAATCTCGCGAAAAGAGATTGCTCCATGTTCGAGTATTTCTGAAAGGCCATATTCTTGATAACTGGCGGTAACTGATGATGATCTCCGATCATTATCCAACGTTTCAATCGATTGTATCCGTCTTGCGGATTCTGTAGCAGCAACGGAATAAAAGTTTCGATTTCCAAAATTTGTGCTGACTCTTCCATGAGAATATTATCATATTTAAATCCCATATCTACGAGCTCGCGCCTCTTAAGGGCAGCATGCGTGCAAGTCATAGCAATTACTTTTGCTTCCTTGACTAATAAATACTTCGATCTGTCTAAACCAGATCGCAACAATTCGAAGGCTCTAAATTCTTCTAATTGGGCAAAAATTCGTTCTATGTATCTGCAACGAAGGGTGTTTAGTTTAACATCGAATCTCTCTTGTTTAATATTTTATTTAATGTGTATTTACCTGAAACAGCTGCACGCAATTTCAATATCTTCCTCGAAACTATTGCGTTTAAACAGCGGTTGTGGTGCATTATCAAAGAACTTATGAAACGGAAATTCCTCGTCTACGATATACGCAGGAGGTGATTTACTATCCGGTCCCCGTCTTTGTTTTATTCTCATTTCGAAGCGTTCCCATCTTGTCAATATTTGATACATAAAAAAGTGTCCTGCTGTTTCGCACGTGTAAGCTACGTCACCTTTTACGTTCAACGATTCCTGGAACCGTAAATATTGAATATGACATTTTTTTATAACATGTTACAACTAGCAGCGCACGTAGATGCACAAACCTGTAATCTTTGAACTTCCATTAAGAGATCCAAGCGTTTCGCTAGAACATAGTTGACTCTACCATATCTACTGAAATCTTTTTCAGTTTCTAACGCTTCCTCGCCGTGACCAAGACGTAGCAAATGCCTTTCGTCGATGTCGAGGGCCATAATTTTCTCGAAAAGCTGATTTAAAGCTTGATTCGAATGCGTAACTATAAGAGTCCGTTGATTGGGAAAATTGTGATACAGATTCGATATGATTTGTACAGCAACGTCTGTCTTTCCGGTACCAGGTGGTCCCACGACAAGCGTCAGTCCGGGTTGCATGCCCGCACGAATAGCTTCGACTTGCGTTGGTGTAAATGGTATTTGATTCCTGTAATAAAAATGTACATAATTCTATTAATATATGTCTATGTCATTTGCTTTGTTAACATGCGAGTCAAATATTTTCATACTTTTTTGGCTCATTAGCTTTATAGGGACCTCTACTAGGTGGAACGTGTGGTTCCACTCTAATCACTTCCTTCACTGGCTCATCATTATGTTTGGCAAGCACGTCTTCAAACGTTAAACGAAAAGGTCGAACCAGTTTCGATTCGTCGGTCGTCGAAACTTTAATCTCGTATTGAGGGAAACTAGCGTTTAAATGATTAATGTCGAGGAACGTGTCGTTGAAGTCCATTTTAGCGATCTCATTTTGCATTCTGTTATAACAACAAATAAAAAAAATATAAGATCACCAGTGTTATATATTTTATTTTAAATATAAAAGTATTTATTTAATATACCTGGAATACCGAGCCGCGCCAGGATCGCCGTACCCGAGAATTATGTCGTGAAGCCAGTCAGGCACGACACATTCCGTATTCATAAGTTCCCTTATCGTCTCCAAAACTGCTTTAAAATTGTTCTCTTTGGGTTTACGTCTCATTATAATATTAAAGCTTTCGTAGACATCCTCGCCACCGTGGCTGGCATTATCCATGTCGATTCTGTACTGATTACAATCCAACCAGACTCTATAAGTTCGAGTGTCCCCGGGTAAAATGGGTCGTGGTTCAGGACCGTCTTCGATCACTCTCCCGTTTGAATCCAGCATGCCTTCAACCTCGCACCCTCGAACAGTCGTTAATCCAACTTGCGGGACGAAGGGCAATTTGTGACTATATTTCGTGCCTGCGTACGAAATACTTCATTTAATCTTAATTGAACAAAACATGCTGGAACAAAAAAATAATATTTATTCAAGAAATTATACCAATAGGATTTTCAGGCTTGACAGTGATAAGGAAGCATACATCGTGCTTCCGTAGGTTTTCCCACTCAGATTTAATCTCTTTACGAACGCTCAAGTTTATTGAAACATCGGCGCGTACCCTGGACGGCCTTTTCTCACCAATATTAGGTTTGGCTACTTCAACAACAGCAAACTGCGTAATGGGCTGCGCCATTCTAGCCCAGCCGCCAAAATATACACCGCCATCCTCGGCTCGCCTAAATAAAATACCACAATATATATACATATATAAAATCGTTAAGAAATTATTTAACATACCAAGGACTCAATCTGCTCACAGCATCCTCGATGTCTTGCCGTATTTCATCTAAAATAAATTCATTACTTAGTATTATAGTAATTCTTCAATTAATGATTTTATACGTACAGGTTGACTCGAGCCTGAAGAGATTGAAGTTCCTCAACAGGTAATCGTGTAAGGTAAGAAATTGTAAATTTAATTTCGGCAGAGCTAAACAACCCTCGCCGGAAAAGTATTCCGTTGGTACTATACTTTCGTTCCAAATGATCTCCTCGGTCGGATAGAGTGGCATTTCGTTGAGCTCTTCCAACTGAGAGGCTCTACGTTCATGTCGTGAGATCTGAAGTGCACATTTTAGATTATTCATCGCATTGAATTTATTTATTTATTTTGGTTTTTTATTCTTGAACCTACCAATAGTTCTCGAAGGAACTCGATGTCATACCGGTACCAGTTTTCTTCTTTCTCACGTTCCTCCGATGGTACCAAGCTTAGGTAGCTTGCGATCGACCTGAGCTTCTCTTGACTGAAAAAAATCCCATAAGTAACAGGACTGCGTAAACGAATGGTCAGCCACTAAAAACCGTAAAAGCAACGGGATGTTAAGTATTACCTGAGCAAACCAAAATGTTTGTAAAGAGCCTCTCTGGTATCGACGCTCGCCACATTCGCCAACGCGAAGCCTCGTAGATCCGGGAATTTCGCGAAAACTGCTTTCTGCGCAGAGTTTTAATTTTGTTTGTTCGTTTATGCCTTGGTATTTCCATTAGATATCCTAATGACAACGTTTATTGACTTGACTAATGACGTGAAGCAAATAATCAATAAGCAAATCGTTATCGCGTACGAATTAATCGCATATCATCGTATTTTCAGCTTCGATATTTAATAAAAAATTCATAAATCTGATATTTTATATGTTTAACGCTAATATTGAACGTTATGTACCTGAAGTGATGTAATCTTAGTGTAATGCAATTGTGTCATATCATGATCCGTGAGAGGGTCACCGCTCTCTTCGTTGATTTCGAATCTGGCATAAAATTTCAACATCTCCAACAGCTGTGAATGAAAGAAAAAACAGAAGCATTAAAATTTCATTTTATGACGTAAAGTTTGTCACTGATAATAATGTCCACCGATATTATTTACAATACAAGAATGACCTCCATCAATTATTCTTTATCTCCTATTCCCGTCAAACTTTGTTATTTACCGCTCATTAATCAACGTACTTGATAACTTATCGCGTTTTAATTAGCTTTCTACTCGCTTGAAAGATCATTATTTAATAGTCTTATCGAACAATTCAAAAATGATTTCGAACCGAGCCGAACAAATTAATTGTCCTCTACAGAGAAAGAATTATAATAAGAACGTACATGCAAATACATTTACAAGCTAATTTAGTGCAAGTGTCCTGTTTCAATATGCAAAAGAATTTTAAACATTTCATTGTTCAAGGCTACAAAAATAACCGAGGCTCTATTGTGTTATGAAACATCCACCTCGAGAGGATTCATTTTATACAATAAATTAGCAGAACATAACTTTCAGATTTCGTCATTGTACTTATGTACACAAAGGATCCACGAGAGCTGGCAGACGAATTATTAGACTGCAGATTTGCGTATTTAAAAAGATACAGCGTGTAAAATTATTTCTGCACTTCGTCAATAAAAATATCTTTTACCATAACATTTTTAATAGATTCGTGCAAAGAAAATTGTGTTTGTTTTAAGGATGTATTGGATATACATTCAATCCCAAAAGTTTATGTACCCTAGAAAAACGCATTTCCTATCATTAAAAATAGTGCACTTTTCTTCTAATTTCGATATTTAATGAGTTAAGTATGATTATTTTGCATTTTATTCATGTTGACGAAATCCGACCATTCCAGCGTCGAAACGGCAAACTTTTGGAAAAAAATTTCGTTTTTCCTCAATAACTCCTAAACCGTTCGACTTACGGGAAAATTGCATAAGACCTTTCTTGTAGAGGAC